TCTTCTACAAGCTTTACAAGTGGGAAAACCTGAAAAATCAACAAGTGTTTCAAATACTTGTTCTCCCCACTGTATCAGTTTGACTATGATACCTTGAACAAGCTGAACCCGATCAGAACCTGAGTTTAACCAGACTTGTAGTGAAGCACATGCCAAACTCAAGGCCTGTGGGCCAAATGGTTCTCGCCACAGCCCTCTATGTGGCCCACGAGAACTTTAAAGGTGTCCTAAATTAAGCCAACGTTGACCATAAACATCTCCCATAATGCACGTGGATTATTTACCCAGGAAATAATGGCGTCCCACCACTATATGGAGGTTCACAAGTGGCCAAAGAAAATAAGGAAATTTCACAATCTGCAAGGAAGAATTAAATTAACATGTGCCACATATGGTAAGTCAGACACTTAAAACATTATTAAAAAGAAAATTAAAGAAAAATGGCAGAAAGAGTGGGAAGTGGTTGTAAAGGGAAGTTAGTTCTATAAAATCTAGAAAATATCAGGAAGGAAGAACAGAAATGAGGAATCTTTAACAAGAAAAAAGCAACATAGCCTTGTAAAATTATTAGGAAAAAGTTATTTTGATGTAAGTTAAGATTGTTTTTCATATTGAGTTAATTAAAAGAATGTATATTTTTGTTGTTGTTTTAGTTTGGTATTCCTGTTTCACACTCCTTATCAGTGGTAATGCACCAAATGATGTTTGCCAATCGCCAATAAAAAAAAGAAAAAGAAAAAAGAGGAAATTTCACTGCGTTTTCAACAGCTACTTTTGCTGCGGCCCAGTTGTACTGGGAAGTGGGAACCTCCCACTAACAAGTCAAATTTAAATTGAAAAGCCCCTCTTAGTGGGAGAGTTCAAAATTCTACTCACCACAACTCAACAGTGAGTAAAACTCTTAGCTTCAATTTAATAGTATTATTTATTTCATATTTACTAAGTCGTACACGTAGTTCAGTGTTTATAAGAGAACAGGTTGAAAACGTTTCTATGCAAGAAATACCAGGTAGAGCTCAGTTATTGACTGTTAGCGGAGGACGAATGTGACGTTTTGTTTTTAGTTGATGTGAAACACAAAACGTGGGAGTTAGTTGCAGCTGGTCCTTCGAGGACCACCACACTGCTGGTGTGGCCCAGTGTCCCTTCAGTGTCCCGTCTGGGCCTGAATACTGACCACGTCCATGTTTCTTGTTTGTTTTCTGATTGTTGCACCTTCAAACTGTTCAGCACCATTGATTTCTCAATAATCAGTGAAACATTTAAAGAGCTGTCGTTGGATAGATGAGTGAAAGTTTAGACAAACAGGAGCGTAACGAGTCTGAAACCTGGACCTCGTCCTTCATAAAGCAGGTTGATGCTTCTTCCTCGGTGCGTTTACATCTTAAAGTCAGAGGGCAGGATTCTCTCTGTATGGATATACCTGAGCTGACGGCAGCTTTTTATTCTTCCAGTGCGTTCTAATCAGAGCTTCTTGCCTGGTCTGTTTATAAAAACATGATAATAAAGCCTCCAGTCAGCCTGTTTTCAGCTGTGAGCTGCAGTCAGATCTATGTGGAGCTGCTCTGAGCAGAGTGTTGTGGATGATGGAGGACACGGTTTGCATGTTTCTTACATTTAAACAACCGGCTGATTCTGCATTTTGTCCCTCGTCACTATTCAGCTCCACAGCTGCTCTCCTGCTCAGGAAGATTTGTTATTTTTAAGGAGATAAATTTGTCCCTGGAGGCACGTTGCCATCTTCACAACTGAGGACTTAAACTTGCCGGAGCAAAAAAAAAAAAGTTTTGAGTTTTTTAAATCTCATAAACTCAGATCCATTTAGTGGCTTTATAAACTCTGTAAAATGTTCATGAAGAGATTTGAAACCATGAAAATGTGTTTGTTTACAGGAAGGCAGTGTTGTATAAAGTACCACAAAATGATACTTGAGTAAAAGTACAAGTGTGCTGTATAAAGTAACACAAAATGATACTTGAGTAAAAGTACAAGTATCTTACCAAAAAAAAAAAAATTACTTTGGTAAAAGTTAAAGTCTCCTTTAGGAATATTACTTGAGTAAAAGTCTTATCTAGTATTTTTGTACTTAAGTATCAAAAGTAAAAGTATTGATTTAAAATGAGCAGTTAGATTTTCTGTAATGACATTTATTAGGAGGAGACCTCCCCCAGAAATGACTATATTGTTTTAAAATAATTAATTGATGTTAAATTTAGGATGCACTAGTCCAGCTGTTTCAGTTTATATCAAGGC